AATCTAGATCTTCGTAAGACATTTGACAAAATCAACTACAATCTGCCGATGACCTGCTTGCCCTAGTGTCAGGTGCAAATACGGTTGAAACGCCATGGAGTTTGAAGGGGGTACTTAGCTTCAGTGGATGGTAGCCGTTTCAGGCCGAGGATCGTCATCGGGGGAGTAGTAGAGCGTTTAGGAGATGAAGTAATATCTAGACTGGCTTACTAGGGGTCCAGCTGGCAACAGGAAACCTGAGGATGACCAGGTGTTGCGGACTACGGAAGGTTGCCCTCACTAGGGGTCCAGCTGGCAACAGGAAACCTGAGGATGACCAGGTGTTGCGGACTACGGAAGGGTTGCCCTCGCAAGTTGTTTGTGCCTGTCTTGTGAAGCCCCTAAATGTAGTAAATGATATAATGAAGAAGACCGTCAATTCCTGTGCAATCGATTCTCGTGAGGTCGATAGCGTAAGAAACTGAACGTTTATTCGGCATTTGCTTGCTCTGCGCACTAGATACCTATCTAATTATTCGCTTCCTTATCATATGTGATCGAGATCGTAAAATGTTAACCCTGTGTTAGATTAATGGCTGGAACATACAGAAAGGTTTTTCTTACGTTTCAGCTTAATGCCACATCATACAATTTTTCCAAGCAGTCACCCATTATCACACCGCCGAGACAGTATTTCATTAACTCTGTAGTTAATGATTTAGGATAACAATGCCGATAATGGGAACCGGAAATGATCTGACCAGATGAGCATAAATTGTACAGGCAGGAACTTCGAACAAAACAGCGTATGCATAGCTTTCAGCTAAAGAAATAACTGGGCTAGCAGAGATTGCGGAATGGCAACTCTGAACATAAGGCAGGTCGGTACTGTTCCCTAAGCTATCACTAAACAAATTACAAGATTTACCGAGAGTAGAAAAAACGGTCGGAGAACAAGTGTGTTTATGATGCATCTTCGGGTTCGTGGGAGTCATTTACACATGATGAAGTGGAGATGAGGTGTGCGCTTGGTCAAAACTTGCGAAATACAAGTACCTGTCCGGAGTGGGTAGGATATATAAATCGATAAATGTTCGTGTTAGATAACGGTGAACAAAACCAGGCTAGTTCAGCAGAAGCGATTAGATATTCATCCTTTGGGTATAGGATCGGGAGATACAAAAAGTGAGCAGCGATTAGCCCAACAATCACGAAATCACGTGGCCTAAAAAGGTTTTGTGGTGCCGAGTAAACAACCGCCAATGCTGCAAGGCGTTGAATTACGTATCCGTATGAGGAAAAACAGAATAATCGACGCAACCAAGCCCATACAACTACGTGAGATTGAGCAACGGAAGGCAGACTTCTTCAGTTCAGTTAATCAACTGCTTGCTCATTAAACCTATGGAGATGGTATAAAATACAAATTCGCGTTGATAATCAACCGTGGAAGAGGGTCGTAGTGGAAATCCACTTCTATTGTGAATGTCTTGGGAAGAGATTCAGCAGGGCTGAACGCGGATTCTACAGAGGCTTCCCGTTCGACTGTTAGATTGACTTCCAAAGAAGGCAGCAGCAGATCTTTAGGCCCGGCCCCGTGTTACAACTTCTTCATCTCTTTTACGCAGGTTGCAAGCATTACATCAATATGGAATCGTTTCTCAGTCATAAACCCCATGTCAAATGTAAGGTGCTACAGTCGCGTTCACTAAGAACAAGGGGGATGATAGGATATGTCGAATATCGGAGACAATGGTCTAACAAGTCATCAAATTCTACGTCGGACAAACTGGGAGGAGACTATGCACGCGAATAAAGGAACACAACGCGGCCGTCAGGAGGCATGACCCCCTGTCCTTGATATCCATACACGAGGACCAAGAAGGCCACAAATTCAACTTGGAAAACGCAGAAATTTTGGTATACGGACGCACGAGGCACGGAAGAGAATTTCTGGAAGCATGGTACTCGACGGCAAATTCGATCAACCGGTGCATCGAACTGGACCCAATTTACGCACCCCTACGTGCAAAAGACCAACAACTCAACCGGAAAACTCAAGGAAGACCGAATATTGGATTCACAAACAACGAAACAAGGAACTCCTTGGAGGCAAATCAATAAAGGTCACAACGCAGGACTGGAAGGGACAAAGGTCAATCTAGCTTCGACCAGATTACGACGGAGGGGATGTCAAGCTCAAAGGTCACGTGGGCATCGGCGAATGGGGATACAGGACAACGGAGCAACCAATGGAATCACCCGACCGAACAACTAATCGCGACCAAAGGTCATCCCCTGCTAGCAGCACGTATATTAACACACGCACAACACTACCCAACGCACAACCACCAACCCACCGCTACGCACTACTACGCACCACAATAACGCACTGATGATGTCACCTCGATTGGTGATGAAACGTTTGCAATCAAATTGCCCAGCTCAGCGAACAAGCCAACGACCACCATCTACGATACCTGAGCTACCAACATTTTATTAAATTAAAATTTCTCATTTACTATGGGGTGGGCTAGCTGGGCAAGCGAGGCCTAAGAGTTGAGATTGCATAAAGTGATAACCGTGAAATGATGCCCTTCCAAGAAGGGACCCGCAACAAAGCCTCTACAATCAACGGGTACGAAAACTGCGGCGGTGATTAAAGTGGGACCTACAGTTAGCAGGTAGGAAATTCTGTCCGCAACTCATCAGTTACTACAGTGGTGTACTATATGATGAAAGAATGCGTGAGTACAAAGACTCACAGGTCATGTAACAGGTGGTTAGATCAGAGATGTGTGGGTAACTGAAGTGCATAAACACACGTGAAGTCATGCGAGTACTTGGCAGTTGTAGACGCTCAAAGAGCCGTTGTCATACCCGTGCGACTACGTGTCAGAGACTAATAAAAATGGAAGATAGCATACTCCGTCACAAAAAAGAACATGGTCCGTTTCATGTGAAGACGAGATAGTTGCTTTTTCAGAAATTCGTTTTAAACCGATCGACAGTAAGTTCGGCTTAGCATGTCCTAAACAAATTAAACTCGAAAGAGCATTGGAGACATGCAAATGAACGTTGTTGTTGTGAAGCAAGAATAGCAGTTCAACCAGTGTGCACTATAAGACCCGAGATAAGAACGATGAATTGCCAGTTAGACATTACTGCTTGTCATGCGGTCGTGCTCACCCAAAACACTTAACTGGCACATAATTTCTCACGTGGCATGTTCCCAATGGCTTCAGTGTGTACCAGTAATGCGCGGCAGATCGGCAGCACTACCCCTTATTATACACGAAATGGGACGGGATATCAGCCTCTACCTTGAATATGCTCATTTGTTTCTGAGTACTGAAAACCTGAGGCACCTGCGGCGCGACACGAGGGACATTTACTGGACTACGTAGTGGCATCAGTTCGATTTCAAGCCCCACACTCATCCTGTATTTCCTTGCACGGGCTTCCTGTATGAATAAGTGTTATTTGTCAGATCACTTACACTATGGTACATCCCACAAACAGGTTAAAGGCTCGCAACTTAGGTCAAAATAAAGGAAGAGATGGGTGAACTCATGGTCGTATATCTTTGGGAGGGCTGGGAGATAAGACAGAACATCAGGGGAGGGGAGCGAAAGAAATGAGGAAAAAGGTATGATGATACACGCCTAGATTGCATTAATCCAGTGCACCCTACTCTTGCGGCGGCTGACTCCCAAACGTGTTACAGTTCAAAGTTCATACGCACTGCACCACCGGTAGATGGAATCAACAACAAATGAGCATACACCAGAGATGTTGTTGAGCTTCCCGTCAAAACCCACTTTATTTACATACTGCTTGGTGTTCAAGTACGAGACAAGGCTGATGGGAACTCGGGATCCACGCCCACTTGAGGTACCACAAGGAGGAAACCGGGAGTGGCAACTTAGTACATCCTACGGAATTCGAAAGTAGTATCCCCACTGTACGACGAGTACGCGGTTATTACAGCTGACAATGATGATGATGATGATGATGATCCCCAGGATGCTTCTCTTGTTGATACCTTACGTATGTCAACGCAACGCCTGTCACTTCTTCCATCATTTGCATGCTATTTGGTGGCGTATTGAAACCTCCTGCAACCAGAACTATATCTGACTTTTCCCGGTTGATAGGAGGGTGGTTATTTCTCAAATTTCTGAGAATCCGTGGTACAACTAACCGGTTCATAAGGGCGGTTAGCACTGGGACTGGACAGATTCACAGCACAGAGGCTACTGCTTACACGTAGTTGACCATGCAATAAAACTTCAGCTCAAGAACTGAGAGCTATTCCAACACCGGCACAACCAACCGAACCATCATTCGAAGTTCGCGGTCGACAGTGCCTAGAGAGTGAAGGTGTCGCGAGCTCAATGAATATACTAGGATTCTGTAATCGGATCTCAGAAATGTGACAGGTCTCTATTCACAAAGTATCAAGAGTGCGCGCAAGAGATACTTGTTCAGCAACGTTTTATTGATTCAAAAACCGAAGCCTATCTGGCTGACCTACCCACAACGGCGCTCTACGGAAGTAAACATCAAATAGATTGAAGGAAATCAACAGAAAGATGAAAGGCATCAGCAGTGACATGTTTCCGCTTATGCGCCCTGTCAAATGTAGTTATTAAGGTGACCTAGCTGATGTCACCGTGCGACGACCGACATGACATGAGGGTACACTTGTTTGGTTGTATGTGAGTTCAGATAATGTTATCGAGCATAGCCTATAACTGCCCGCTCAAATAAGATGGCTACCACGAGCGAACTCTCACAGGCCTACAAGCTATCCGCTTCCCGCGATTTTCTTTGACTGCGACTTACGCCATTTGATTCAGTGAGCCATTGAGCAGCTTACCAACTCCCAATCCTATGGGTTCGTACCCGTAAATACACCTGATCGTGCATAAAGTTCGTGAGAAAGACCTTGTTGGTTATGTAATACGGTAACCAAAGGTTATCGAGGAAAATTTGAAGAAAAAACGCTGCCCACAAACCTGTTGCTTGTAGTAGCGGCGTTCCTCTTCATCCAGGAGGACCAGATTGAGGAAGTACCGGACGGAGAATTTCCGATTCACATCACGCATTGTGGGACTCAATGAATAACTCTGCAAGAAGAGCCTAATAGGAATAGATTCTCCACGAACGGGAGCACCGTCCATAATTTCATACTTGGCAATGGTTTCAGAATCGGTGAACATATTCGGACCTAGAGTAGATAATTAGAGTAGGAGGACATTTATACCGGATCCAAGGGTTTCACGCTTCAAGATCTGTATTTCCATATTTTTAATTTTGACTCGTACAAGTAGAAAGTAGATTTTTCCGACAATCACGTCTCTGAGATGATACCTAGCGGCAAGGTGTGTCTGTCATTCGAATTGGATCTACTTTGATTTATTGTATTCAAATTCAATATGTAGGCTGTCTTCTATGCCTACTTCCATCTGAATACTTTCGTCTGGTTCCATAGGTTTGGTCAGTGAGTGAACCAATATTTCACGGTCTTTTGTCAAATCGGTCAATCGACGTTGCACGGTCACGCGAAGAAAATACCTAATGAATAGTGAACAGAAGCTGCAACCGTAACATACCTTAGTCTAACATGTGTTCCACAATAGCTTTCATAAGGCTTGTTGACAGTAAGGAATTCAAAAGGGTAGGAAACTGGCTGAGATAGTATGCCAGGACGAGCCAAGTCCTGGCTAAGAGTAATGAACTCGTCCCGATTGCCACGATCAGTGAAGAACTCGATAACACCAAGGAAATCGATGCGAATTCCTTGATGCTCCAGTTTGCTCCCACGTTTCATCCCGATCAGTACCCTACCTGCAACTGTCTCACCATCGTAGTAGACAGAGAGCGGATACACGTGCCCATCCTCGGTCTTGCATTCTTCCTGCTTCCTGTGTTCTTCGTCGTCCAACTCGATTCGAATGTCCACATTCTGTCCGAGCCCAAGAAAGTTCTGAAACATGAGTTATGACGATCCATTTATCGATAAGCAGCAATTCCAAACATGGGACTGGCAACGGTAAATTAACTACAGAACACAAATACGAATATAGGCGTTCTGTTAAAGCAGATGGTAAACATGACCAGATTCACATAAGAGCATGTCAAGTTTTCACAAGCTACCCATTGCACTGATTCGGAAGACAGTATAGATCAGTTCTATTCATCCTCTCACAAAAGTTCCTGCGATACACACAACAGTAATCATGCTTTCCATGGGTGAGATGGCGCTTAACATTGTTACGGTTTGTCAGATAGACCTGTGCTCGCAATATTTTGCACGTTTAGAATGAGGGGGGATAAGGACAGAAGAAGCAGCGAACAGATCCAATAACCCCCGCCCACCCTCAAAACAAGGGCGCTACTTTATAGCTGTTCCTCTACACATGGATTGTGGATGCTAGCTTTCGCGTCAAGTTGGAGAAAGGAAAGGAAATATAGCCTTCACTATCGAACGTGTTCTTAAGCGCAAGAGTATCGCAGCCTCAGCGAAACAAAATTCGGGTAGCATAAAAAAGCGAATCTTTATACGACAGAAAGCCAAATTTAACATGGTTCCGACCAGTCATCAAAGACGTTCACTTGACAGCGGGACCTGACTTGCTCAGAAAACGTCACTACATACCACCCAGTAATGCAGTGTTTTATATCACCTGCGATCCATACAACTTTAGGCGTAACCTATTTGGTTGTTCTTTTTGTGCACAAACCAACTGCGAAAATGGCATCGCGGCGTTTGTGGACACCACTTGGTGGTCCGTAACCATAACATATCATGGAATGAACATCCACTCGTAAATTCCGACTTTTTGAAGCGACTGATAGGCGTTTTTCATTGCTATTCAGTTTCACATATAAGAGCTAGTTGTTTGTAAGCAAAAAAACTGCGTTGTAAGAAACGGTGTGTTCAGGTACACATCGGGGAGTGAAATTCTGTCCTCTAACTGTTCATGACAAATCGTAATTAGGAGTTTAAATCATGAAAGGACGGCCAAAATACCACAACTCGAAACTTACCAACATATCGGAGTGTACTCAGAGCCGAGGAAGAACGCGGCAACGTAGGCTGAGACCCGACAACAGATAAAAAGCTACAAGGGATAGGAAGAAAAAGAGAAGAATTGCTAGCAAAGGCAGTTATGGTACCAAAGGCGATTTTTCTAAACGATATGTGAGATATGCCCGTGTTTGTGGGCGTCGCCACCATGAAACGAAAGGCACAAGGCCAATGGGGTTCCCAACGGTCATAACTCATATTCGCAGAAGCAACGATGCTGCCGTCGGGGTGGGATACGGTATGCATGGTGTACTATTACTGCTCAATAGCTGACCATGAACAATGAGTCATCATCCAACGCCGTCAAAAAGTGCACCATCAGACATCGGTCAGCGAGATCAACTGAATGCCACATGGATTATATCATATCACCAGATTTGATACGTCCCCTCAATCTTATTGGATGACTTGATCGATTTAGCGAGACGAAATCACACGGGAGTGAGACGCTTGGTTCCGAAGAATACGTGCATGCTTGAGAGTTCACTAATCCGGATCACACAGGGGGGTGGGCCAGGCTTAGATCGATCTCTTTCAAACACAATGTGCGAACACCAATTAGGGAGTGCGGTAAACGATTCCAATAAGGTATGATGGTGTGAAAAGGTTAATTTGAGCTCGACTGCCAAGTCTTCGATGGAACACCGCAAGGGGGCGGCCTCTGAAGCTTCGCGGGCTGAAACATAATGTATTTGTTAGCCTTAAAAACTTTCTACATGAGTGTTAGACAACTCACGTCAGCTATATTTGATGGTAAGCTGCTTCCTTGACGTGGGGGTCCGGCCTGGGTGCTGCAATAATCTCGCGGGTTGCGCTGACCGGAACTTCGTTCCACAAGGTCCAACCATGCCAGGAAGGCCAAAAGAAAGTATTCCGACCAAGAGTAACGAGACCTCGTACTACGATTAAGTATGTTAGGAGGCGGTCCGGTGATGAAGTCGTACTGTCCTATGTGATAAGGGTGTTAAGACAACAAGGTGTTTCCAAGGCGAACAGCATGCCCATATGCATGAAAGCAGTGATACTGCTTTCCCCTCCCCGAGGAAGAAAGGGTTAGAAAAGTTCGGTCTGTACACCCGATCACCCAACGGTTGACCATGACCACCGGCGCATTATTCAATACGGTCGAAATGCTTTCAAAATTAATGGATCCGGTGCTGCTCCAAAGGAACCTGCTCAGCGCAGCCGCATCAGGCATGAGACACTAATGCTTTATCCCCTGTGCCTTAGGGTCAGGTCAACCATCTGCAGCCAAACAGGTTAGAGTAATGAGTCGTGGACTCCCGGAGGGGTCCGACTGCCCACTGCCTTGTGGGCCAGAGTGGGTCGGATGCTCAAGGCAAGATGCCTAAACCGAGCCCCCTTCCTTGGCCTTGGCAACTGGGGAATATCATTCGCCGCACAATTCTTTGTCTACCGATACCCCTCTCGCACCCATTTCCACCACACAAGCAAACCTTGCTGGGTCATTTGACTGACACGACCAATGGTCCTTATGCACCAGATACACGAAGTGACAAGGGGAACACGTGAGTTCGTCCTAAGCAGCTTGACGTGCATGGCCGCGATGGCATCTTGTGCGCGTATTTTGGAGACCCAACGTACATCGACAGGGAGGCGTTCAGGGGGTGTGTGGTCTTGTTGGGAGACCGTGCCCTCTAACTCAAGGTCTGAATCGTGAGACAGCGCTCGTTGGGATCTTCCCGAGGAACCCTTCCCGCAGCCAGTGAATCAACAGTACTGGCTGCAGGGGGACTGGTCTGACCCGAGAGCTCGTTTGACTCCTGATGCGTACAACATGTCTTTTGGGCAGCTATAAAAGTAATTCGACCGTATTAAGTAATGCGCCGGTGGTCCAGGTCAACCCTTGGGTGATCGCAGTGCGCGATTTTCAGGGCACAAATTTGTTTAACCCATCTTTCCTGGGAGGAAGGTACCATCACTGCATGCATGAATAAGGAGATACTGGTCACCTGAAAGAAAAGCCTTACTGCCTTTACACTCCCATCTCACAGAACCGTACGGTTTTACCTTTAGAGCGCCTCCTAATGCGATTACTCGTCACACAGGGATTCGCTGTTCTTTGTCTGGTTGCCACCGTTAGCCTTCGTGGTATGGTTGACTATTTTTCAAGCATTTTAGATCGCAGGATTATTGCAGCAGTGAAGTGAAGCCCAGCCACCATGGAAAAGTGACACTTCACGGTAGGTTAGCCGGGGAAACGTGAAAAAGGACAAGAAATCACTAACAAAGGCAGCAGTGGTGAGTTCGCAGTCTTGAGAACTTCCGTATGTGACCAAAATGCATATTGGTGTACACTTGATGGCCATAATATAACTATGGTTAAGAGCGACTTACAGTGGCGAGTTGCACCATGTATAAAATAAATGCAATGCGAAAGGTGGAGCAAGTCAAAAGAGGAATTTGTTGTTCGTGAGTTCCTTGGTGAAAGTCCAGACGGGGAAACGTGTCCTCTCCACAGCAGAGATGCTACATGTGCTCCGTAATTGTCCATGGACTTGTAAAGTTTGGCTTACTCCCTGCCCTCTGCACGCGAGAGTACACGTATGATGACTGTCATGTCTTCCTGTGTATAGGAAGGTTTGAAGTGTGTATAATACAGAATCATTCCGACGCGTACAAGACGAGAAATGCCTTGTTGTCGGTCTGGGTTACAAGCGTGGTAAGAAGAAAGCGTTCAACTGTAGCACCATTCCGGTGCCTAGCTGCCATGCCACCCGAAGGATGCACGAGGGCTGGGATACTACCAGGTTGCCCAGGCCTAGACAGGGGAAGTAGATGGGCGGAGGTCGGGTTCGAACCACGGACCTTCCGGTCAGTAAATTCGCGCTCTAACCACTTGGGCCATCTCGCCCCAAGCGTGATAGGGTTTCGTCACGCGATTTGTGTTTGCGGAACGAAGGAGTCGCGTGATCTAGTGAACATGGATGTACTACATGAATTAAGCGTTGTCTGAAGGAACAGGGAAATGACAGATAAACGTAAAACTGACCCAGTAAGAGTGCCACCGCAGTCACACTCCTATCAAATAGTGGCTTGTGCACGTCAAAGTGCGAGACATCCGGAGGAGTATATGTAAACAATAACAATCGACTGGCAGTCATATGCTGTTCTCATCACAACCCTTCGAACTGCTAATAAGCTAAACAAGAAAGATGATGTCCAAAGCCATATTGAGTGCTGGTAGCAATTGGATAAGCAGTTCCCGTGTCCCACGAGGGCAGTGGCCACAAGATTTCATTATTTTCCAACAAAATGACAGACCGATTACCATTATTGTAAGCTGGGTTGATGATATCATTTCATAGGGGTTTGGTAGATTTATTGGTGGGTAGCGTTTCGCTTTTGACACAAAAGCTTCGTCAGGCCAAGTGAGTAAATAAGTAGGTTGATTGGGTTTTCAGGCAGTCAGGTAACTAATCCGTGAGATTTCAGAATCGGTGGGCATAAACGTTCCATTAGCAGACCACCGAGAAACGCAAATGAATACCAGGCGTCAGTCAAGATTCAGCCAATAGCAGGGCATGCTCTAGACACTGGGCATAGGATAGATTTAGAAAATGTGGACATCCTGAGACAGCGACTGGTGGCCAAGGCGGTGGAAATCGCCAAGCATCCGAGTGTGAATAGAATAGAGGGGGTAGAACTTGTAAACGTGTGGTCTTAGATCAGCCGAGATGACAAGAGGCGATTATCAGCGGAATGGCCTGGGTCTAAGAGTACAAAATCCATGTAGAGTTAGATCCAATTAACCACTCCACCCCCATCCCCAAACCAAGTGTCCCAGCACCCTTGGACAAACACAGGTGAACGAAATCTGTAAACGACCCCGAGAGGAATTTTCCATTAAGGTGTCCTAGGCTGGAAAAGCAGGGACGGAAAATCCGGGTTCATCATAAAGACCAATCCCCCCTACCTAATCTATCGTAAATCGTAGCCATCCCCAATAATCAACAAACAGAATCATCAGACTGAACACCCAGCACTGATCAAGACACTAGCCATAAGGAATCTCACGGATTGATCCCCTGACTGCCTTGAAACCCAATCAACCTACTTATTTACTCACTTGGCCTGACGAAGCTTTTGTGTCAAAAGTGAAACTTTTCCCAGCAATAAATCCACCAATTGTTTACCAAACCCATCTGAAGCGATGACTTCCCAACCGGTCCCAAACATTTTCCAATGAGTTGATGATAATTTATTTCAACTTAGTCAAAGAAAAATATAAGATCGTTCAGCCGTAACGCCCTTTCGGTGTCTAGCTGCCACGCCATCCAAAGGAAGAAGGAAGGCTGGGATACTGCCAGATTGCCCAAGCCTAGACAGAGGAAGTCAAAATGAAGAGGTCAGGTTCGAACCACGGACATTCCGGTCAGTAAACTCGCGCAATCTCGGCTCCTCCTTACTTGAAGGAGTTGAACTCTAGAGCCACTGGGTCCCCCAATAAAGTGGCCCACTAGCTTCCTTGAAGCTTAAACTCTATGTCTCAGTGTACCAGGTGTTCTGTCCCTTCACTTTGACATAACCAATGCTTAACCGTGTTTGGTTCACCAGTTGTACTACATGCCTTTATTCGGTTCCCAGTGTCCTATTTCCCAATCATCACTGTTTGTGCTCGAATGAATCCAGCGCTTTGTTCTGACTAGCATAGCCTTCAAAGCGAGAGAAACTCGCTTGGTATGCGAGTTTCTTCTCTTTAAAACCATCTGGCGTACCTCAGCACTGCTAACCCGATGTTGCCGATCGATGTTTTGGAGGCGCCAATGGTAACCGTCGAAAGTTTTCCTACATTCCCCCGGCGGAGGAGCCATGTTTCCGATCCACAAAGCAGTGTGAACCACACCAGTATTGTATGCTCGCTCTCCCCTTGACAGACATGCCAACGTCACTTCGATGCCGTAGATGCCAACATGACAAGAGCTGCTTTGACCTCATTTTCATCAGCCACCCTGGTAGAGCAATTTATCTACCACGTCGATTGACTGGTATGCAAGCATGACGTCTGAGTCTGATCGCGTCCACTTTTGTACCAGCGTTTTGCACTTTGTAGGCGTGAAGTGAATGCCGAACCATATGGAAGAATTAGTTACGCTATTACGTGACCTGCATCCTTGAAGGACCAAGACCAAAATTGATAAAATCGTCTGAGTACTCAGTGTCTGCGAGCGAACACCCGGGAGTATCTCGACCCCCCTGTTTTGTGGGCAATCGAAGCTCCAAGTAGCACGCCAATAATAGTTGAACAAGACCTGACAAAGGTCCATAATCTCGTATTACACAAATGGACGCGCAAAAATCAGCCAGATCCCTTAAATGCCCGGAGAAGTCCGCATATATCGCCCTCAAAATGGGAAAATCCAGCTGCACCGTGTTTCCTCAAGCAGTACCGGATCTGCGGAGTCAAAAGCAGCCTCGAGATCGAGAAAAACGACCATCTCTGGAAGTGTGAAATTAGCGTCGCTCGAGAGCCCGTCTCAAGCTGAATGTAAGGTAAACGCATTTACGATCGAGACGAGACCCAGCATAATTTTCCTGGACGCCCCTCTCCCCCGACAGTCGACCAAACTGTGAAAAACAATATTAGAGAACACCTTGGATACCACGCCTACCAGACTGGTGCCATAAGTCTTCCTCTTGCGCGCGTTCCAGTAGCATTGTTTTAACTCCAAATCTCCGGTCTTAGTCTGATTACTCTCCAGGTCTTCACCAGCTTCTTTTAAAAGCGCAGAGCCGAGCACGCTATCGCGCAGGATGAATGAGGCGGCGCTGTAATTTCGCATTTGGCACCAGACTGGTATAGATATCCCTTTGAGGTTCGTTGAGCTCTTCTATACAACATGTCGAAGGAGGATAGCTGGACGGCTCCTTAAAGTGTTCAACCGATCGCTCAATACGGCACTTTTGTGGACGAAGTGCTGTTTTAC